ACTGTGTTGGCATCAGCTGGATTCTGTGGTTTTGTTGGTAGGTTTTGGAACCACGTTTCAATGTAGAAACCATGGCCCAGTTGCTGAACATCCCACCAAACAAGACACTGCTGCGACGGCACCTAGCCACTCATTTCAACCTCCTCATTGGGCCGGAGGCCCAGCAGCAGAAACGTGAAGCCATGGAGTCCCCAGACTATGTCCTCTTAACAGCAACTGCCAAAGTTAAGGTAGGCCACTTGTTCTGGGTTCATGTGTGAGCTTCCAGGCAGACATTTAGATCTCCATTCTTGGAGGGCTGTTCACTAAAGTTTGAGAAACAGGATTGGCTGCTAATGTGAAAACAAACAAAAAAACGTTGGAGCAGGACTCAGAAGATATGGGTTTGACTCTTTTGTCTACTATGAGCACACCATATCTCAGCTCCTCATATGTGCCAAAGAGAGATGGTGCTCCTGTGGGTTGTCCATCTGACTGTATGATAATGTGTTTGGGACAGAGGTGGTCTCTTACTATTTATATGCTTGTGGTTTTGTGCAATGGGATTCTGAGAACAGTTGGGATCCTTTAAATGTTATTTTTGTAGTAATGATGGAATGAGAGATGCATCTTGTTCTTATGGATGCAGTTATCTGGAAATTCAGCTATTCAGAAAACTGTTAGCAAAGCAGTGGAGTCTTAACCCTTCAGCATCTGCTCACATTGAAACACCAGTTGCAGAGACATCTGTTACTTCTTTGCTGACTCTTAAGTTTTTGTGAATTTTCATTTCACAAGCCAAAGAAACTTGCCTTCAGCAATTTTGGGAGCCTGAGAAAGAAGAAGCAAGATGATGTGGAAGAGTACGTGTGTCCTATGGAGCTGGGGAGGGCCTCTGGAAGTGCATCGAAGAAAGGTTTTAAGGCTGGCCTGGATATCAGAGTATATGATGATGATGATTTGGACAGGCTGGAGCAGGTAAAACTGTAGTACTTAACTGTGCTGTTAAATTTGGTGGGAAACTTCTCCTTCACAGTGAAACCTTTCCTTTCCTTTAGCCTGTGAAGATCCTCAGTTTTGACAGTCACAAATCACTACTCACAAACACAAACATGTCTCTCAGCCCAAGAACTGCAAGCCATGAACGCAGCGCCTGTTAGACTGTCTCTGACATAACTCATCTTCTGTCCCAGCAGAGCACACTCATCCCTCACTCTGAGCATGTGGGGCTGTATTTACATTATTTGCTGAACTTAATTGCCACTGCATGCAAGGGATTCGTTATTCATTCATTCTCTGTTTTTTTTGTTGTTTTTGTTTTTTGCAGATGGAAGATTCAGAAGGGACAGTGAGGCAAATAGGAGCATTTTCTGAAGGCATCAACAACTTGACAGTAAGGCTTGAAACTGTGATTTGTAGAATAAAAAGTCTGTTTCTGTAAAATGAATTTGACTGTTCCCTCATTTCCTTTCTAGCACATGTTAAAAGAGGATGAAATGTTTAAAGACTTTGCAACTCGCTCTCCTAGCACCAGTATAACAGATGAAGACTCCAATGTGTGACAGCAACCAACAGGCACTGATGAAGGCTCGCTTCCTGTGTGCAAGAAACGTCATCACTAGATGTGATGGGCAGCAGATCATATACACTATGTTGCTCTTGCTTCTGTTTGTTAGAAGTAATACTGGGAGGTGAAGAATTTATAGAAGAACTGAAAAAAAAATAAAAAAAGGTGCCTACTCTAAAGTTGCCATAAGAAACACCCAGACACTGGTGAATGGAAATTGTTTTTACTATATTTAATGTACAAACGGATGACATGTTTCAGAGTGTTGCATTTAAATTGATATGGTATCATAGTGCTCCTTTTTCTTATTCATGTCCTGACATAATCCTTTGTATTGTTACAAAGTAAAGCAAATTGTTAGGTAGAAAAGCATTGCACCTGTAGTTGTCAGTCAGCTTTCTCTAGGCCCTGAACTGAAGATGTTATTGCTATCTTTTTCAAAGGCCTTTGCCCCACGCAAATGCTAGTTCTGCCCTTCCTTTGGTATCCAACGTAGGATTTTAGTCCTCTGTGCCCTGCATAATCTCCCCAGTAGCTCTTTACTGTTGCTTTTATTTTTATACTGTTTTATAAAAAAAAAATATTAAAAAAAAGAAGTATATGAAGTACATCTAAAAGCAAAATATTAAATTTTGTGACATAGAGTAATGGAAAGTTCAAGATAAGGGGAAGGGGGAGAGAATTGTAAAAGATTATCCCAGTTTGCACACCAGCTGGTTACTGGAAAAGGCAGGCTGACCTTTGGAACTGTTTGCTTTTGTTGCTTTTTACTGAGTTCACAGTTTAATGATCTTCCATTTGGGATGGAACAGTTGTGAAGCATGTTTCCTCTAGCAGTGACTCCTTGGGAAGCTGCAAATTTCAAATTGTCTTCTTTCTTGTTCCCAGCAGCAGTAGTTTTATAGCATTCGAAGTTAGTAACACTTCTGTGACTTAAAAATGTTCTGGAGAGTTTTTCTTCAAGTTGAGAGTACTCCCTGCACGTGGAAGGGATGTTTCTGTGCTGTGACTAACGTGAGGATGGTGTAGTTGCAAACAAATAAAGTTATATAGAGAAATGTATAGGGAATATATTATTTCATTATATTAAACCCAAGGTGGAACTTTTCCTTAACAAATCCAAATATCAAACGTGTTGCTCATCATTTTGCCTTCTTAGAGCATAACTGTTTTTCCTTGAAGGTCATCAGATTTTAAAAACATTAACTAGCCAGCAGAAGTTTGTTGTCAGGCTTTTTGTATTGCAAGATGTCCTAGCCAAAGCAATGAAAAAGTAACTCTGTTTATTACAGCAGTCTTTTATACAGTGTTGAACATTGCATGTACTTTAGCACAATGGCATGAAGCTGCTTTGTTTTGTAATGGGAAAAAAAGCCCAGCTGCTCCTTGTGGATACTGTTTGGCTTTTACAAGAGTTTGTCACTTGTTTCATCATTGCCCATGCTGGAAGTGAGACCACTGCTGACACACTGATGTGTGGTATCATGGATCGTGGATTTGTGCTGGTCCTGTGGGTAGGAAAAGAAGGAGGGAAGGAAGGGGGGATTCCATGGACCTTGCACTAGGTGTTGGGGGTAGATCTGAGATGTGTTCTAGCACTCTACTGTTGTAGCCTTACGAGCTGTTACCAGTCAGGTTGGGTTTTTTTGTTGTTGTTGTTTTTATTTTTTTGAAAGATGTGCAGTTTGGGCTAATTTTCATGTGCAAAGATGAAAACTGTGATGTGGACCAGTTGTGTTATATACAATAACAAGTGCTGCCATTCTCTCTTCAGTAGCTGGAGCCAGACAAATGAGCCATATTGTAATCATGAAACAGTTCGTGCCACTTTGCATTTGTCTAGAAACAGATCACAGCTGGTGCTTTATTCAGAACTTCTGACTGAGGAGCACCCACAAGTAATTTGCTGCCTGTTGTTTCTTCTGCAGTTCTTGGGGTGGCTGAGCTATTCCAAATAGGCAGAACCACCCCATTCTGTAATGCCTGCTTGCCACTGTCAGGTACAAATCCTCATGGTGTTGGTTCAGGGCTTGCTTTCTGTGAATACTTTGCAGTGCTGGGCTCAAGACCCTGCTCTGCCATATGCAGCAGAAGCACTGGAAGACATGGTGCAGGCTTCTGAGCAGAAGTATTCCTTCAGATTCTCCTGAGCAGATGCTGGCTAGTGGACACAATGAATGAATATTCACAGTAAAAAAAGGGGGCTAATGATACTGCTATGTGCTGAAACAGGTACAAGCAAACTCTCTGAGATTTTTTTCTCACTCTGGTGCTGTTAACAAACCTAGCAGCAGCAACAACCATTTCTTTTTAAGTCCAGTGTAAGTAAAGTTCTACTTCAGACACCTTGTTTCTGGGTCTCCTGGGTGGAGAACAGATTATCATTCAGAGCTGCCTATCAGCTGAACTATGGTTGTTTTGTGGGGGTCTGTTAGGAAAGCATTGGTAACAGTGGGAGATTTATGCGTGCATGTGCACACAGCTGATACCATTGTGGTATTTTGTGTTTTTGAAGAGGGCAACATAACTACTGTGTATTGCCATGTAAAATCCAATAAAAATCTGTGGAAAATGCCAACTGCTTCTGATAAGTTTTGGTGAGTTTTTTTTTTGTAATGCATCCTTAATTCTTTTAAATTCCTAGGAAGCTCATTGTGTTCTACTTAAAAGATGAGGGACAAGGGGCAAACAAAATCACAGCCAGGATTCACCGGTTCATCTGTTGATGGTGCCAGCAGGAAGAGTCAGGTAACAGTCAAGAAATACGCAGTCTTTCTTTGTTGATTTTTGAGATCCAGATTTGATGCACACGGGGTTACTGGGCATGTGTGACAAGGAGGTGTGTCCCAGCCCCTGTCTGGTCCTCAGTGAGCCCACTTAGGGTGTCAAAGGACCAGCAATGTCTGTCTCCATTGCAGAGAGTATCTCCAGCCCCAGGTGTCATCATCCTTCCCCATGCCCTCGTAGCTCTCAGCAGCTGTAGAAGTACCAATTGTCCTCCCCACTTTGTTGCTGGGATGCTGGTATAGATGATGATAAATGTTTTGCTTGGAATAGCCCAGCTAGCAGTGCAGAAACTGAGAACTCCTCCCTCTCTTGTGACCCTCATTTCTGTTTTGTTCATCAGGTCAGCTTTTTTGTGTTAACACTTGGGATAAATGCTAGAACATTTAAAATCCAGAGCACAATATACCATTTTTGTCTTTATAGTGACATGAAGCTTTATGCTTCAGTATTTTGGCATTTTCTTTTGCAGCAAGAGCTTTTCCTTTGCAGTCCCTTTATCTCCTTCTTCCCATCGGAGGACAGCATTCTTAGATGCAGCTGTGAAAATGAGCACAAACCTGCAGAACTGGTAGAAGATTAGGAGAAAAGGCTGGCAAGGAGGGAGTGCTGGTTGCTGGGGAGTCCTGATGTAGAAAAGAGGGGAAATCAAGAGTTACAATCAGAGGTAATGGGAGACTCAGCAGTGTACTCCCTGCTGATTGCTGTAGGACAGTTACAAAAGAATGGAGGTGAGACAAGGAGACGTGAAGATCTGTGGGAGAAAAGAAATGTAATACTTTGGGCATAGTCTGTTTTCTGGAGAGAGGGACTCAAGTGTGACCAACCTGAGACGGGGTATCTCTTGGGGGTTTCAGGAACACCAGGACATCTGTAGGCAGTAGAGATGAATCACAGAATGGTATGGGTTGGAAGAGACCTTAAAGCTAATACTGTTTCACCCCTCTGCCATGGGCAGGATTGCCATCCACCAGATCCAGGAAGGCTGGACACTTCTCAAGAAGGAGGTCTTAGAGATGCAGGAGCAGCCTCCAGTCAACCTCTGATCAGGCTGCCCAGGGCTCCATCCAACATTGCCTTGAATGCCTCCAGGGATGGGACATCTACAGCTTCTCTTGACAGCCTGTGCCACTGCCTCACCATCCTCTGAGTAAAGGATTTCCTCCTCACATCTAGACTACATCTCCCCTTTTTAGTTTAAGATCATTCCCACTTGTCCTATCACTATCAGACCAGTAAAATGTTGGCCTTCTTCTAGTTTATAAGCTCATTTTACGTAGTGAAGTAAGGGAAGTTTTGAGCAATTAGAGGAAAGAATGCAGAGAAAGAGATCCTTATCACTTTTTTCTTTCACTGAGAATGGGGAGAAGGAGGAACAAGCAGCACTCAACAGGGTAGAGTCTGTTTTCTGGGAATGCTGGTGAGATCCTGGGGCAGTGAAGAGATGGTTGCAGTGCATTTGCACTAGCAGCTGACCAGGCTGATGCCTCCTGCAGCAGAACCATGCAGTCCAACCTTAACAGTTATGGAAACTGGATTTTGTAACTTTAGGAATCTTGTTTGTAGTTCTAGCTGTGCTTGGTGTGCATTGACTGCCCAGGCCTCTCTGAGGTAACCCAGCTGCAGGTGGCAGCAGCAGCTCAAGCTGTTCCTTTCTTCTCAGGAAGAATGATCAGAAATTGGAAAAGGCTGCTCAGAGAGGTGGTGGAGGTATTCAAGAAACATGCAGATGTAGCACTGAGGGACATGGTTAGTGGGCATGGTAGGGATGGGCTGATGGTTGATCTTAGAAGTCTTTTAGTATTCTGTCTGAGTGGTTAAAAGAAATAGGTTAATTCATCTCTAGGTAACACCCAGTGCCAATAGAAGTGGTTCTTTGTAGTAGTCCTAGAAATGAGAGGGAGCAAGATAAGATCAGGCTAGAATAAGATGGGATCAGTGAAAGCAGGTGAGCTCAGCAGGTGTGAAAGCAGCGGGGCCTGCTGGGCTGGTCCCTGCTTAGGGAGATGCAGGGGAAACACACCCTGCAGTGCTGCCTGCCAGCACTGCCAGGCTCTGCTGGGCACAGCAGCCATTGGCCGCTCTGTTCAGCCCACCTCAGGGGTCTGACAGTGCTCAGTGACCGCAGGACCTTCACTGAGGAAGGGACATCCCTCAGGTTATCTGCATGAGGAAACGACCTGTGCGGAACTGAGCCAGAAAGCATCACCTGGAGACAGCTGGGGGAACACAGCTGAAACTCATTTTCTGTAAAGTCTTCAGCTGAGGTATGGTTTGTGCATCTCAGAGGCTGAAAGACTAGCATGGCTTCACAGATCCTCATAGCAAAGCCCATCTGCTGAACAGGCTCTTCCTGGTCAACTTCATCAGCTTCTGTGTGGAGAAGGGAGTGGAGGAATGCATCATGACCAGTCAAAGAACCATGTAGCAGCCTTTGCTCTTTGGAGTGGACTGACTCTGGACTCTGTTGGGTGCTGACGATTGCACCGAGCTGCAGCTGAGTGCAGATCCTGCAGCTGGCAGAGCTGTGCCAGAGTGGGACGGCCCTACAGGAGCACTGGGGCAGCCTGGAGGCCGTGCTGGTAGGCAGACACTGCTGGAGCTGCTGGGAGAGTCCAGCCATGTTCTGCTGTCTGGTGGGATGGGACTGCGAGAGCTTGTTTGGCATGCCAGGAAACCTGAGGACCAAGTCCTGCTGAATAGCATTGTCAAGGAAGAGCAGAAACACTGCCTGTTGATCAGGAACGTGCTGAAGCCATTTGCTGCTAGCATTGGCAGCTTCCTCCCCACAGAGAGGTGCTGGAGAGCTGCATTGATGCAACAAATGGGCTGAAGGAGGCGGGCAGTGTGTCCGTAAATCTCTGTAAACCTCGTGCTGGCAGCGGGGTCTGCAGGCCCTCACCAAAGCCTGTGGGTGGAGCTCAGCCTCGGTGGGCTTCGTGCCCAACATCACCCCACCCCTACTTCTCACCTTCCCCCTCCACCCATTGTACTGCCTTGTATTGTGCGGGAGCCAATCTGACTCAGTCTGCCCAGGTTTTAGAACAACAGCACACTGTTCTAAAACACAATCTGCCAGAAGAAGTGTTTATAGAAGGCGTGGAGCCATCCCGGGACGTTTTGTTCACCAACCATGGAGCCTTGGCTGAGGCCATGAAGGCTTTATCGCACGCTGCCTTCAGGAGGAGTTATTAGGCTTGGCTCAGCCTTTGTGTGCTGTGCATATAGAAAAGGCAGGCTGGTTTCTTTTTTTTTTTAAATAATATGTTGAGTCTGTGATAGAGAAAACGTGGTGTTCAGCTGTCAGAGTGGTGGTGCGAGTAGAGGACAATGCAAAGGCTTCAGAACACTGTTCTGGAGGAATGGAGCTGGTTCTCCTAATGGAGAACTCCCTGTCGTGAGATAGAAATGAGCCAAATGAGAACCCTATTATCTGCCTGCAAGAAGGCAACCGGCACCAGGCTGATGCTGGGACTGGAGATCCCCAGAGCTGTCACCCAGCATTGGGCTGTGCCATGAACCCTATTCTTACTGGTGGCAAAAACCAGCTGCAGTTGTTAAAGGAGACATGGGAGAATGAACCCATGGGGTCAGGGGGCTGGCATCCAGGGCAGCCTTTGTCTCTCAGTGCAGCAGAGAAGGAAGTGCTCCTGACAGCTCTGGCAGCAAGCAGAAATCTGGAAGAGGCAAGAATGTTTCTCTTTGTCTTTGGTTTTGGTATCTTAGCAGCTCACTGTGTTTATGTAGTGATTTACTCAATTTCCCTCAGGTTTTAGCTGACAGCATTTCAGGTTGCACAACTGTAGTAGCTTTCTTCCAGCTGCTGTTAAGCAGCAAAGGAAAGAGCTCCACAGGTTTCAGGCTGGCAAAGCCACAGTGTTTGTAGGCCACGGGTAGGGACTTACTGCTGTGTACATTAAAAGTTTGATGGTATTGACCTCTTGTGTGGTGGTTTTCCTTACAATTTTCTTTCTTTCTTCTAACAGAATAAAAGTTTCAAAACTGTCATTCATATGTTACTGTTTGGTTTCTGAGTTACAAAATGGGGAAGCTGTGACAGCTGAGAATTAAAGGCTGTAGTCTGCACAGTCAAATAAAAGGGCACAAAGAGCTCCAGCATCAATGCGGGAGCTCTCCATGCAGTAAATCCAAGGCCAAACTATGAGAATCACATACTGGGGCAGATGACCACCTGACCTGGGTTATGCTGCCCGAGGTCAGCTACCTCAGGTAAGTCGTGCTGCTGCACTGTTGGCTCTGGTAGGAATCAGTGCTGTGGGTAATAAAGGCAAGGATGCACAGCAATGTATTCAGTGAAGTTAGTGTGACTTTACTTACTGATTCAGCCCAGTTGGTGTCTTGGTGATTCGCAGCCAGACCTCAGGTTGTTCAAACTCAATGTCTGTTCTTACTAGGTAAGGTTATTAAGTCAGTAAAAACAAAGTTAAGGGGTTGTGCTGCTTGCTTGTTATTCCCTTTCCCCTCATTTGCTTATGTGCAGCTTGGTTAATGCATGGAACCACTGAGACGCCGAGCTCCAGTGCTCATGGAAGCACAGAGGAGGGAAGAGCACACATCACAGCAGGAAGTAGGCAGCCCCTTGCTGCCATTGCTTTGTTAGCTTCATCAGGTAGTGCTTCTCACCCAAAGAATAGGAAGAACAGCAGAAAACCTCACCCCTGCCCTTTAGTGGGGGCTCGCTGGCTGTGAGAAGGGGCCCTTGGAGCACATTTCCGGAGCGGTTTGTTTTCCAGGTAATGTGAGAATGTCCTACCTTAACCTCCATCACAGGTAGGAGCTGGCTGACACCCACTCCACTACAAGTGTAAGAGGGACAGATGAACCTGAGAATCAAAAACGATGCAAAACCAGCTTTTATTACTTGTTTAAGTGCCACAGTACAGGACCATCAAGCAAAAGGGCACCATTTTCTCATCAGATTATATAAAAATCTCCCTTTTAATTAAAGAGCTTCATGTTAGCAAGGAAGATGTACAAAACAAAGGCAAAACAAATAGATTTTGGTGACAGACAGAAAACAGCGGTAGTTTAATCCTTGACAGCAGCTTGCAACCTCTCACACAAACAGTTGAGAGCAAGCAGATGTTTTTAAGCATTCTGAAGTGCTCTACAGTTACAGTTTGTCTCTTCTGAAGTGGAAGGTGATGGGATAAGCGACAGACAGGTGAGGCACCTGCAGGATCATTTATTTCTTACACGGATGTGAAAAAACACAGTAATTAGAAAACAGGTTTGGTTATACAAAAATGTTGATGCGTTACCAGCGAGTTATTTTTGATGTGAACACTTCATTAAATGCAGTCATGGAAAAAAAATCTGTTTACTCCATAATGATGTAAACCAGCAGCAAAACAATTCATCTCCAATTTCTGCTTTATGCCTCACAAAAAAATAAAGGGACTGACCTCTGGAGCACAATATTAAAATGAGTTTCAGAAACACACATCAAATATTGAAGATTTCAGAGGCAAGTGTCTATTTAATAAACTTAGTAGTATTATTCTTCGCAGGTTCATTAAATTAATTCTAGTATCCTTTTCTCCTTTTAATTGATGCTGAAAATTCACCTTTTAAGTGCACAGTACCCAGCTGTTGTATGGGCACAAAAGAAAGCAGGGCAAGTTACAGCCTCAAGTACTGCCCAAATCTTTACAAAAGTGACACACACAGCACACCAACACTTGCAGCTAACTCACATCCACGTGACTTCAGCTGTGGTACTGGGGGACTTGGTTTAGTGGGGAAATGTTGGTGAATGGTTGGACTGGGTGATGTTGGAGGTCTTTTCCCACTTTGGTGATTCTATGACTTCACCCACCATCACTGTAATTTCATCACCAGACCACAACTTTGTCTCCTGGGCTCCTTGCAGGACAGCCCCAACCTCAGTGTGTGTGGATGCAGAAGGACAGCACACAGGAGCATGAAGTTTTGCTAAAGGTTAGGTAAAAGGCTGCTGTAAAAATTATATTAAAAAACAAATTGAAACTATAATAAACAGCACGTAAGAAAGAGTTCTAGATTCAGAGATACATTTGAACCAGCTGTCAGTTGGGTGGCTTAAGGCTGTTCCCATGCAATCCTTTCTTCTTTGGAGCTCTGCCAGAGCTAGGTGTGCAAGCATATCACACCTGCCAGCACCCAGTGCCGAGCTGGGCCACCCAAAGAACCCCAGCCTTGCTAACCCAGCTCTGGGAAACAAGGAACTAAAACCACATCCAGTTTTCACCCAGCACTTTTTCACTGCACAGAACCTGCAGAACAATTACTTTCCCACTCCTATGGTACTGTCATTTAGAAGTAAATACACACGTCAGTATTTTTTCAGTATTCAGCACACATACAAGCAAAGACTTCCAGGACAGTCAGCAAAGCATCTGCTGTCCAGAGTTTCTTTCATTGCCCAGGGATGTGAACAGCTGGAAAAGTGTTTCCATGTAAAAGAGGCTATTCCAAAGTACACAGGAAACAAATTTTACATAGCTGTCTACCCCTCTATTTTGATTAACAAGGCAACTTACTTAAACAATTTCAGTCATACATGGTTAATTGTCATCCTTCAAGTGAACACTCTTGAGCTCCTGATGGTGCAAAGATTATGCATACCAGGAAAACACTCCTGGCCTTCACACAGTAGCATCTCTTTAAAGTTTGATATAAGCAGGGTGAATGATCCAGCTCATTCTATATATTTCATACTTCACACCAAATAAAATACTGGATATGCACAGTGTTAGGAAGTAGGATATTACTACTATTTGATTACAGTGCTAAGAAGAGTGTAAATGAGTATTTGCTGCCCTAAGAAGCTTTCCTGCCTCGAGATGGAATATAATCTTTCTACAGGACAGACGTGGCAAGTACAAATACAGCTGAAAACTGCGCATGGCTACGTCTCTGCCAGAAGGTTGTTTCTGTGTAATGTACAGTACAGTTATCATATAGTTAAGCTTAAATGTCTAACTTGCCAGAGATTCAGATAAAAATGAAGTATTTCTCATGTAAATGTAGCTTCCCAGCACTGTGCATCAGCCATCTCTAACTTTGTCTTGTTCCCCATTAACTGTTTTTCTTTCCTTCCTTACAAGATTGCTGAAGTATCAGCCTTCATTAGAAGGAGAACCTCATGTCCTTGGCATAGCCCAGTTTGTCCAGGTTGGGAATGCATGCATACTGGATCATGGGAGGAGGCCCACACATGAGGATCAAAACATCACTCTGAGGTGGAGGCAGGTGGTCTCTGATCATATCTTGGTTCACAAATCCTTGGCTGTAATCCCAATCTGTTGGGGAAAAAAAAAAGAAAGAAAGTAGGGGGAGGCAGAAAAGAGGAGGAAAAGATAGATACAGGTCACTTTATTATAAACTGTGTGCGTTTGTATTTTTTTTTAAGCAAAACTGCAGCCTGAAGCATTAGCGTTCTCAACACACTCCTACTAAAAGGAAAATGTGCCCCTTATGCTTTTCAAATGGGATTGATGAGTGGAGAAAACAAAAGCAAATGTTTAAGAAAGCGTTCTAAAAGCACCAAGGAAATATCAAGCAACGTTGTGAAAAGAATATGAATCTTTTGAGCTCCAGCAGTGTGAAACAGCAACATCCATCCTCCTTAACGCACTGGTATCCAAGCTGCCTTAGAAATGCAGGAAGAACACTTATTGTAGAAAATGAAATGGCAGCACCAGGCTCCAGGGATGGTTTAGACCCTCCCCACCATCCTGTGTGTCACAGTTCGACCTGGTTTCCGTGGCCAAGAATATGCCTTCCACAGTGTCATGGTCACAAGGTAAGAGAAAGCACGTGGCTCTTCCCCCTCTGCTCCAAGCTACCAGTGAATGGAGTGTGACTCTCCTCTGATGTGGGTGGGCGTGACACAGAAGGAGAAAGGAAGGTCACCTTGGATCACAGTAAATATGTTCATGGGATGAACATAATGCTATCATTCCCCTCAGGTGAGCTTCATAGATAGGGAAACACTGTCAGATAACATCTAGAGCTTCTGCGCACAACTGTGCGAAGAAAGAAGCTGCTGGATGCATTCAGTGTTGCGTGAACACGATTCATTGAGAAACAAAGGAGCTCAGAAATACACACAATGCAGCATTTCTCCTGTCAGACGTGCATTAGTACCCATAACTTAAGCTTCAGTAGAGATAGCGTGACAGATCTTACTTTCAGGTGCTTTATCCAGTGTATACCAACACTTAAAACGGTTGGGGTGCTGAACCTGAATCTCCTCCAGCTCTGAACGTTGCAGGATATCCTTCTCAGTCTGCAGGGCAACGGAAACACTGGTTATGGTTCTGCATTTGAATGCAGGCCTCAGATGGCCACTACAGTTCTGTGTAGTTTTGTGAGACGAAACAGATTATTTAACTCTGTTTCAGAGATTGAAGAGAGCCTGTAAATGCAAATTATTTCCACGACGATCCCATTGCAGAACGCATAAAAGGCTCAGAACTTCCCCAAATGCTAGCCCCATAATTCCTTCCTTCGAAACAGTAAGACAAAGCAATACTTGTATCAAAACACAGAACTCATTACAGAATCAGTGGTAAAACTGTAAGAGTGAGCCCTTCCTTTAACGCCTACATTAGAAAAGCAGCTTTCATTAAAAAAAAACAAAACCTAACCATGACTACATGTGTATTTTCCTACCCTCCAAACTTTGCCTTTCAATCAGGAAATAAAAAGGCCAATTTTTCACCTCGACCACTTTAAATTTCATTAGCACTGCCATATGGAGATGCTCAGTGTTTAAACAAGATGCGGAACAACAAATAACCAAGGAGGTACTGAGTTCTCATTGGAACAACAAAGGCTGTGCAAGTTCTGCTCCTCTCTGATGAAACACCATCAAAGGCCAAAAGAAAACCTTATTTCCATAAAAGCAGCCACAGTTTGGGAAGGAGGGTAAGGGCAGAGACTAAAACTGGCATCCTCCTCCAC